TTCCATCAGAGTTTCTCCTTTAGCCATTTTTCTGCAATCTTCTGTGGAATCTAACAGTAAAATGTATGCAGACAACAAAAACATATAATTCTTTAAAGAATATCAAAGAATTTGAACGAAGAGCAAGTTCACTAAAGCTTTCTGTCAGAGATCATAGACTGGTATGTGAATATGCAAATCTACCCTACTTTCAACTACAAAATTTAATATGTTGAGAGTACCACACATAATCAGCTTAAATGTTTCTGAGTTAACTAAAATGTCACAACTACTTTGGAACTTTTGGATTACATTTTGGATTGTTTTTCTAAATTTAATAGTACCTTTCTCAAGAATGAAAGTTCCTCAGAACGCAAATATATAATTAGTTTATCTAATGAATTATTTTAGCCTCAACATTATTATGTAAGAGAAAAATATATATTGTGTAGATAAATCAATTTGACAGATTGTATTTATAATAAAAGAAAAATAATGGTCCAAAAATAAACAAATGTATAGGCACAGTTGGGTAGGGATAACAGCTTAAACACCTGATTTTTTGAAAGAAAAACCTAAGTAGATCAGTTTAATTCATTCAGTTAGTTTACAACAATAAATTGTTCATTTTACCATGAAGTCATGAGAGAATATGTTATTATAATTTCAATCAGCATTCCTTTGATAGTGGAATTTTTGCTTCAACAAATGTGCTTGAACACTGAAAATACAAAGAAATGGAAGATGAGATAGTCTACGTCCAGAAATGGTCATTTGTGGATAAGACTGAAAAAAGATTCTAAAATTTCAAGACTATGTTAAACAGGAAATAACAAGACTCATTCTGAACAAATAAGGTATAAAATTTTAAAGAAGTAGAACAGTAAAGTTAGTTTTTAACAAATAATAAAGAAACAGAAGTGGATCTCTATGTCTTCAGTTCCCACAACACTTTGAAGAAAGTCAGATGAAGTGAGAATCTCAAAATACTTTGGCACAAAGATTCTGGATTTGAATCATGTTGTAGAGAAGACCTATTGAACATGTGGCTTTATGTGATTATGGAGGCTTGGCAGCAGAGGAACATATAGATAAAAAATAGCAAGGAAGGAACTGGGAATAAGGATCAGTGAAAGACACAAGAAAGGGTACACTGGATAATAACGGGTCATATTTAGTGTAAGCTTAGTAGATGCCAGCCATTGTTCTAAGTTTATACACATACCCAATCAAAGGGGTCCCTACTGTCCATCCCATTTTATAGATTATGAAACTGAAACAGAACAGATGAAAGCGTTGTTCAGTGCTACTCTCAGCTCATAAATGAGGAAAACTGAGTAAAGGAGTTAAATTGAGTCAGACAACTTATGAGCTGTCTATTAAATCCAAAGTAATAATTATTAAACAATATTTTGTTAAATTTTTGCTATAAAAGCAAGGTAGAAAAATCTAATTTAAACATGTGAATCTATTGAGAAAAAAGAAACTTTTGTAGCATCATAAGGAAAACACAGAGCAAAGTATTTATTTTTCAGCTACAGGTACTTTTATATATTACCAACACATACAAATCAATGGTCACCGCACAATTCCAAGACTGATTTTCTGGGCATTCTGGAAACATGATGCATGGAATTCCAGTTTTCTGATTTTTGAAATCTGTGTAAGAAACACCCATAAAATTATATTTCAGGGTGCCTAGATAAAATGTTGGATTCCTCATTCCATTCAGATATAAAATATTTTATAAATTGGGTTTAAAAAAGGTTTCCAAGAAGTAAAATTTTATCATGTCCATAGTATTGTGAAACCCAAAGTATAAGGTAGCAAAATTTAGTCCTTATTTACTTTTGGTTTCTAACACCAGAGAAACAATGCAAAATTTACACATGTGTCTGATTTATTTCACTGAAGAGTATGGTCTCAAGGTGTATACATTTACCTAGAAATGTCTCAAGTTTATCGTTCTTCAAGCTGAGTAGTATTCTACTGTATGAAAGAAACTCATATCTTCTTTAAAATGTACAATAGATACTTTGAAATAGGAAGAAAATGCTCAAATGGAAAGGAAATTAGTGAGGGGGTTTGGAAAAGGAAGAAAAGAAAAGAAGGAAAAATGGACACAAATCTTCTATAAATAAGGAGGAGAAAAGGAGCTAAAGGGAGGGGAGGGGAATGGGGAAAAAAAAAAGAGTCAAGATATATAGTGTACAGGAAGAAATTTCCTATAATTAATGTGATCATTATGTATACTGAAAGTGTAACAATACACTTAATTAATTAATGAGAGAAAAAATTGGTTACACTTATATTTGACTAAGGGCCTTTTCACATTAAGAAATTTTAATATTTCAATTATTCTTAGTTATAATATAATATTATAAAAATTAACAAAAACACAGTTTTCAAATAAGAAAATTCAAAATGACCTATTTGTCTTAGAACATAGAGATAATATTTATTTCTTTATAGTCCTTTCTCATGTTATATTCTGTATTTTGTAAAATAGCATGTTTCTGAACTATATTAATAGTAATGCAAATATTTAATGAATGCTTATACATACTCATTTGATCCTCATCTCCCCAATTAGATGTACAATGATGTCTATTTTACTGATGAAACAATAAGTATAGATAATTTCACAGATATTAAATTTATTTGAAATTAAATTATTAACCTCTTCCCCACAATATTCTTTGTTGGTGGTGGTGTTCTTACTGAGATTAACCTAGGGCCTCACACTGAACTCACCAGGGTTTTTTTTGTTTTTTGGGGGGGTTTTTTTGGTGTTCTCACTACATACTTGCCAAATTGTCCAAAATGGGTTTGAATTTGTTACTTTTCTGCCTTTCTTTCCCCAAATGCTGGGATTATAGATGTGCACCAGCATGCCTGGCTAAACTACTCTTTATGGACCTGTATAGTGGTTTTTTTTGTTTTTTTTTTGGTTTTTTTGGTTTTTTTTGAGACAGCATTCTTCTATGAAGTTCAGGCTGGCCTTGAGGTCACTTTGTAGCCCAAGCTAGTCTTGAACTTGCAACAATCCTCCTGTCTCAGCCTCCCAAGTGCTGGGATTACAGGCGTGCTGCACCACACCCAGCTCCATATACTGTTGCATGGACTGATTATCATATACTTAAAAATTCTTTGAGGAATATATCTAGGTTTCAATTTTCCCTTTTGAGTGACACATAATTCATAGTGTTGTAATAAATATCATATGTGACAATTTATGTGAAGTTCCTGGCCCACTAATGGACTTTCAGTTAGTTAGCCCTTAATAATCACTACTCCTCTTCCTGCTTCTGCAAGACCAGTACAAAGATAACAGCCAGATGGTTATATAAAGAGCACAACATCAGGTTCATGGTGCTAAACATCAGCACCACCTTGTTGGTAAATATGGATACAGTGTCTAAACATTTAAAGATAAACTGAAAAATGTCTCTGTTAGTATTATAATCCAAAAACTGAAGAAAGCTAACTTGTTCAGTTACTTTTCTGAAAGGGTAATGTTTTGATGTTCAAATAAAGTTACAGAATATTTGGCTAACATGGAGTCGACATGCTATGTTCCTCAGTTTATCCACTTATATAACGTCGATCGTTATTTTCATCTTGCAACAATGAAGTATAATAGTTGAGAGAAAGAGAGATCTTATGCCTTAAAAATCCTAAAATATTTGCTATCTGGCCCTTCAGAGAATGGGTTTACACTCTCGTGGGTAAACACTGAAATTCTTTAAGGATTCCAAGAGCATTTGCTATGCTAACGTTAACCTATAAAACAGCAAGAAAAAGAAAAGGAATTCTAGCATAGAGTCCTTCGTGGACTTATTTGACCTTTTGGCACAGCTTAGAAAATTAATGATCTGCCTGAAACATTTTCAATACACAAATTCAGCTATTTTCCTTATTATATGAAATGAAACATGCCATTTGCTTTCTCCCAGGCTACCATATTCAATATGAAATGAAAGATTTCTGTAATGTATATAATACACATACTAATTTAATATATATTATTATGTATACATAATAATTCTATAAAATATACTGATGGTTTCTTTGATGAAAATATGATAAATTTGTAAAAATCACAGGTTGGCTAACAATCTAGGAGAGGGATGTAGGCCTCCTTTAAATCTTAGAGAACTGTTCAGTTAATTTTCATTCAATTCTAATGTGATATATTCCCCACTTTTTCCACACCTCTAAAAGCTACATTATCCACTTAATTGTATTTGCTGTGCTTGAGAATGATCACTTCAGAAAAAATAAAGGCACTTTGTATAAAGAAATATGCTATAGCTAAAACAGAAAGGCCAAGGTATAATAACGATGTTCATTGTCTTTGTTTAAAATGTGCACACATGTATACACAAACACAGAATAAAATTTAAACAAAATTAGAATTAACAATACAGGCATAGAGGAACCTCTGAACACTAATAACTTTTGAAAGATATAACACTGCCGGTTCTAAAAAGAAAGAACTTTCACCCAGAAATAATACAAATCTTCCATAGGTCACATATAAAAGTTGAATCATTATTTTGATAGGTGAAGTGTTTGCAGGAGTAGTGAAGTCATAGTTTCCTCCAAACACAAACCATTAAAAATTTTCTTAAAATAATATGAAAACTATAATCCTTCACAAAATTAACTTTTTATAAAATAGAACATTTAAAAAGTAATGAATAAAAACAAATGGTTACAAAATATTCCCACAGAAGTTAAAATGTGGTTTCCGTGTGTATGTACTAGTTTTATGCTCAAGTAATGCCAGCTTAATTTTGTAGGAAGTAATACTATAAATTACTCAGGCAGCATAAGAATGACCTTCAACATTCCACAGTTGCAGGGTAGCAATAGTGCACATTCCCACGAAGACAGAAAAGGGAAGGGAATGTGTAAAGAATGTGTGTTGGAAACTACGGGTTGTTAAGTAAACTAAGCTCATAGTTCAGATGCCGGAAATTGATTATAATCAAAATGTAAATATTTAACATGTAGCATTTACCAGATGAACTGCTGAGAAAATATCTACTCTCATTGGAAATTCTAAGGTTTACTTCCCATGCTGGTACCTGGCAGGTATTGAAGGCTTTCTTACTGCCTTGTATTTAAAGACAAATATTTCATAACGATAAAGCATACTTATTAAAAGGAAAGGTACTTAATCTGGATATTTTATTTAATGCTAGCTGTCAATATTTTAACTATTAACCTTAATTTTCGTCTTGACAGCCAAACCATAATTGCTTTTGTCATCATAGCACAAGGTGTTTCCTAACCACAGCAATTTTCACCTGTGTCTGACTGCAGCCACCTGCCCTTCACCCTAGAAGTGTATCCAGAGCTGGGTTGGCATATTTGAGTGACACCAGAAATATGCAAGAGATTGAATTGGGACAGATAAAAATCACCAGGTAAGCTCCTGTATCCCTGCTTTCCATTTTCTGAACAAAAATCTGTAAGAAGTTGCAATGCAACGTGACTTCATTTGAAAGCTTCACTTAATAATCAGCTTTTCTCAAATTAGCTAAAAGAGCAATTACAAATTATAATTTGTAAAAATAAGAGTATAGGGAAGCCTGTTATCAAATTTTCTGTTAAGGAAAAGGAGAGGTACTGAGTAACACTAACGAAAAGAAGAAAGAATAGTCACCTTTGTTAAATGTATGTAGTATGTCTATTTTACTCTTTAAAATGTTTGCACCTGTCCCACTTTCACTAGAACTTTGCTATAATTTCTACCTCCTTAGACTCTGAAATTTTTTACCTTTTCCTCTGGTCTTTTTCATTATCCTGCCAAATTATAACAACCTTCATTTAATTGTATATTTCCTTCAATTATCTTTCTTTCCTCTACTTTAACAGAAACCCATAGTCACTTTCTCTGGTTCATCAGTTTTGGTAACTCTTTAACCTACCACAAAGCGACTTCCACCCCCACTTACACAAAAAGGTATCATTCCCTTAAGGTTATCAGGATCCTCCTGATTTGACTTGATTCTTTTAACATGATGTGTTGTGATTTCCTCACATTCTGGTTCTTACTTCTAGGATGCCGTGAAGTCCTTTCTTAACTCTTCTAACAACTTTTTCCAAGTTCCTTCATGGAACTCGCTTCTTTCATGCATTTCACCAATGTAGGTGTCATGCAAGATCAAATTCATTTCTTTATAAATTCTACATAGCGCCCCTCATCAAGAAAAGGTTTTCATATATACATATATATATATATATATATATATATATATACACACATATATAGTGAAACTCTGTATCATTTCTAATGTTTTTTTGTTTTTATTTTTTATTCTCTTTAATGGTTTGATCAATCTTGCATTCTCACATCTGGTAATCTGAGCAAACTTCATTGAAGATAACAATATGTAATATAACAACCACTGTTAATTCCTATCATTTTGTTCTGAAACCCTGTAGCATTTGTATTGTTTTGCTTTGTTTTGTATTTGTCTGTATTGTTGGAAATTTGCTCTTGTTCTTTTTTTTTATTAATCTCTTTAAAATAAAATAAAGAAAAGGTATGTATTGTTTCATCCCTTGAACACACTTCAGGTTTTGCTGTTACCAGCAGAATATAGCCGACACTGTGACGTACATGTTCTGGAGCTCACACCTCTAGAAGGCTTGCAGCTTCTGCTTTCTTTTATGGAATTCGGCCCTGAGGCTACTGTTTGATGCAAGAGCCTGTGATGCACTATGATATACAAAGCAAAGGAGGCCTTCTCGGTTGTCTCCTCTGAATGCAGCCCTCCACCAAGCTGCAGCTCCTGAGAGTCCCCAGGTGAAGTCAGCAGAGCAATCACTCCTGCCAATAGTGAATATTAGATTGTTCTTTTCAGTCACTAGTTCTAGGGATGTTTTCTTGTACAATAACTGTAATTGATACAGTAGGGACCCCACCGGGTTTTTTTTACTAAATCTGATTTCTTGCTTCACCATGTAGTTATTGCTGGTGACAAGGATAATGTTCACAATATCAACCAATGCATTATGGTAGTTCTCAAGTCTACAAATTTTCCCGTGAGCTCTAAACTCGTATTTCCAATTTTTACTTGGTATTTATATTTGCATTACCCAGAGGGTCACTTGATACTACTTGTTTATTTTTGTATAATCCAGAAGGATCTCACACTTAGCACATCAAAACTAGTTATCTTTCACTTTCATATTTTTAGCTGTCTCATCCCTAGATTTCCCGCTTTATTGAATATTGTCATTATCCTCCACTTTTTCTCTCCATATACCAAAATATTAGTCCTCTGTCTCAGTCATCACCCTTAACAGCTGGATACTATGTCTGCTTTGTCTTTTCTCCCATGTGACCCAAGTGTCTGCCCTGCTATCCATCGTCACTACTATAGTTCAGACAACTCTGTTTTACTATCGCTGTAGTAAACTATTACATATGATATTATGTTGTGACAGAAATGTTGCCCTTTTCACATCTGTGCCCTACACTATGATTAGACTGCTATTCTCCTAAACTGAAAATTTAGTTTTGCACCTTCCTTGATTACAACCTTAAAATGATTAGCAAGACCATTTTAAACCAGTCCTTCTCCCTTACACTCGCCTTTTATCTCTGTGGCTCTGCCTCTCTCTGTCTCCCTGTCTTGCTCTGTCTGTCTCTGTCTCTCACCCTTCCTTCAACCGCATCTCCACCCACTCCTTCTTTTTGTTTCCTTCCCCTGCTCCTAGGATTCCTTCGAAGATCTAACTCTTCCAACTCTTAGTCAAGCATTTCTTATCGCATACATTGAATTGGACATTCCTAAATTCCTGCTGATCTCTGAAAGATGGAATATGTTGTCACGCACTGCCACATTGACGGCTAGACTTGATAGAACACCTGCTATGCTCTAATTTTGATTCTGAACTTTTTGACAACTGATTTCCTTGTCCTGAAAAACACTTTTGTCTCCTTTTCTATCAGATTCTTACTCTGTTTCAAATGTTGCTTCCCCTAGGAAAATTCCGTGGTTATTGAATAACTCCACTGCCACAGGCCCAAATAAAAATGGGTCTTCATGCTATATGCATCTGTGCATCCCTGTACGCATTTGCGCATAGCACTTTCTACTTTGTGTAATGCCTGCTTTTTTTAAAATTAGTTTGCCAGTAAGGTCTTGGTCTGAATCTTTCATTTTTGAAACTAAACAGTCAAATGTAATTAATGATGTTAAATGTTTCTTTCTTTCCTTGTTTATTTAAATGCTGAATTATGAAGAGTGTGTTGGGGAAGGAAAATAAAGAAAAATTCTCAATTATTAATCTAGATCAATAGGTCTAAATAATAAGATCTGGTGGTTATAGTTGAACATCAACTCTTCCATAGATAATGTCTTATGGAAATTTTATTTCCACTTTACTATATTGGCTATCATAGTTTTCACACCACAGAGCAATGGAAGCAGTGAAATAATAGTTGGCAAAAACTAAAATATTTATTATGTGGCTTTTTGCACAGAAAAGTTTGTGAACTCCTGACCTCAACGATGGAAATGTGTCACACATCTGAAATGTATCTTTTCAATAATAAAGTATTTCTTAAATCTCAGGATACATATGGTCCCACACAAATATTCTGTATAAGGTTCTCTAGGAGGTAAAAAGGTAAAAATAGCTCAACCTTACACAAAAGAAACTTGCAATTTAGGGGAAGCTATGGTGATGCTTGCAAGCACTTTCATCCAAAGGTGATAATTAAAGCATCATTAACAGGATGGCTGTTTCCTGCGGATTGAGTGGGATTCACAGAGGATTAGTCAGCCTGAAAGCCCAGACTGAACCAGTGTGTTCTTCCTTTAAAGCCCCGTTCCAGGTGCAGTGTGCTCCATGTATATCAGCCCCATGTGGCCGTGAGTAGGGTGGAGAGTGGGCTGGATGAATGGCAACTTTCACCATCTCCTCCCAGGTGCAGAATGTATCCAAACACCAGGTGTTTACAGGTGGGATGTTTAGAAACATCTGCATGATACACTGAATTTTTCAATCACTTCTCTGATGTTCTTTCCTCTCCAAAATTATCCTTGGTACGTTTTTGCTTTCTATGGTGACACACCTATATCCTGAGTTACTCAGAATCAAAACTGTAGATAATACTGATTCATTCATATTCTCCTGGTAATGCAACCATCCTTTTTATCCTATAAATTCTGCCTCCATGGTGACTTAATTCTACCTTTCTTCACATATTATGTAAGATATTTCTTTATTGCTTCCCTAACTGGCCCACTTATATTTTTCCTCTATTTTATGAACATTTCTTAAGCATTTCTTTTTGGTTGATTTTCATGGTATTTAATGATCACAACATATTTTTGTTTACCAGCCTTCTACTACAAAATAAAATAAAATAAGTAAAATAATGTGCTTGGTCTTCCCCAACCTACACTGGCATAATTTCAAACACTTTGACTTTCTTCCTATTTCTCCTTTACACGAAATGTTCTTTCTCCCATCTTTCTGTATTCAAATCTTTCATCTCATACAGGGTTCAATTCTACTGGTGTTTCTTGAAACCTCCAGAGATATGACTTTGTCTTTGCTACCTAACACACCACTCCACCTATATTTCTAGTCCTGAGTTTCAGGCACCAGTATTACACCAAACACCTTCACTTGGATACTTACTAGGCATCTGAAGCTTAATAAGATCAAAATAGAGTCATTACTTTCCCATACACTGTCCTCCAAATCTGCTCCCTCAAATGTCTCCCTGTCTAGTCACAGACTCTCAAGTCAGAAACTTCAGAGTCATCTTTCATTTCTCATTGTCTGTACTCATTCCAAAGTTCTACTTCCACAGAGGATCTGTGTTGTCACTTTCTGCCCTCCTCCACCATCATCACACCAGTCATTAGCTTTCGCTCAGACTATTGAAGAACGTCACCATTGGATGCCTTGTTTCATTCTGTGTCCTGCTTCACTCTCCATATCATAGCCAGGTTGACTTTTTAGGAAACAGAAATAAGACCATATAATTCCCTGGTAACCAGCCTCTCACACACTTGAAGACTAATGAACATCCCTTATGATCTACAAACAGTTTTCCTTTGCAGTGGTTATATTTTCTATGTCTTAACTGGAAAGTTTCTTTCTTTGCAACTACTCTACTCTCTTCATTATACCACTCCTGTTCTTATAGCATTCATTACTTTTTGAAAATGTCTTATTCATTAATTCTTTTTCTATTGTCTCTATCATTATACTCTGCACACACTACTGCCTTACTCACTACTTTGTCTTGAGTAATATGTGGCACATATTCCAAGGCGAATAGATACTTGTTGTTTAGTACATGAATTTCGTTATGGCACTTCTAGATCATTACTTTTATTTTAATTTATATGTAGGCCACAAATATGACAGAATGGGATAGCTCATCCATGCTTTA